AACTAATGAAATGTCATGCATTAATTGGGTTATTACTTAATTAATCCTTAATAAATTATGTGAATCAAAATTTCTTCTCCTAGTGCACGATGCTTAAATTTAAGAAATTTAAGAAAACAATCATATAATAAAACATTCCTAGAAGTTTTATATAACATTTATTCAACAACGAAACATGCATTTCATGGTATCTAGAGGAAACTTGGAGACTTTGATTTCGTACATCCACAAATATCCGAGATGTTTGGAAGTTAATGCCTCAAGTTATGTGTTGTGGAACAGCATTCACTTAGACGATTCCCTTCGATTATTTTGAATATTGAATAGAAAATTCCATGCCATTGACGCAGGAAATTAAATAGATATTAAGGTTGCACTGAATGTTCATATTTGAAGAAATTCAGAAATATCTATTGCTTGACTTGATCCCCATCAATTCTCAAGTACAACTTCAGCATGTAAATATTTCTAAAAGGCACTACAACATGGCTCAGTACGTGGGTCACTGGGAATAAAAAGAAGTTGTTGTATGCTAACTATTTCGGGGTGTTTGGGGCTTAAACCGCAGAGCTGGATTTCGCCCCGGGGAATTGAGTGCCAACCTAACAGGGAGATGCCAGAGAGGACCATTCCACGGTAACACAACTTCGTGGAGACGGCAAATTTAATGTTCTATTTCTGAAAAAACAAAGGGGGTTCACAACATGGGCACGGTTACGGGGTCCTTGAAGAGTTGCTAATATTGTATTGTCATACTGCATAAATCAAGTAGTAGGGAATTACAACTAAATATGAAAATACTTATACTGTTGTTGCATTACATATGATTAAGAGGTAAAAGTGCGTAGATTTACATAGAGTTACAAAGTTAATAATAGAAATTCATGTGACATTAGTACAATTATATATATATAGAAACAAAGGGGGGGTTCACAACATGGGCACGGTTACGGAGCCTTTGAAGAGTTGCTAACATTCTAGATGTATTTGGGGTATAAAGTTCGTAATTCGCTAGGAGTTATTAACCAGTGAAATATAGTAACTTCAGAGTGAAATGCTTGATTCTATTGCTAAAGAGCTGAATAGAGTATACTTACAACCGAATAAGGCTCATCTATATCATGATGCAATAATTGTCAAATCACCCAAGAAATAGATTTAGATTAGTCAACCCGAATTTTTATTATGAAGAGACCAACCGCTTACATGATAGCATTCAAAGGTTGTAAAGTGTAAAAGTCGACATATGCAAATCAGATGCCTTTCAAATTAAATTAAATAAACTAAAATATTTTGTTTTCGCTAGACAGCTTGATATGTTATTACTAACCGCTTTTCTATTATTAATTAAATATTTAAGTGAAATTTAAGTTCAGAAGTTCAAGACATTCTCCAGAGCACAGTATAATAGAAATGAATGTAAACTGAAACGTAAGTTACCTCTGTTCTTTCTTCTTTTTTACAGACGTTGTAAATGATCCGTGATAAGAAAAGCTGAGCATCTTTCTGAGATACATATTTCTGTTTAGTTAATACAGTTATTAGCTTAATCATATGAATAAATCCAATAGTATGCACTGACAATATTATTTTCTTATTTATTGTTTCCAAGATACGTCAGAAACGTCATCTCTGGAAAAGAGTTCTTTTCTATATATGTTTTATATAGTTAGCAGATCGACTGTGAAATGCATTAAATGATTTACTCTGAACAGGCACTGCGTGCGGACACGGCAAAGTTTAATTTCCAGTGTCACAGAAGGAATTTAGGGATTGAATGTCCATGTGTTAGTTGTATTCATGAAATGTACGAAATGCGTTAGCCTATGATCCATCGAAAGGAGTCGTGGATATTTGAACATAGGATGGATATTACACTATTTAATGCCTGTTCAGAAAGTCCTTCAGTTAAGGGAGAGATGGGATTAGCAGAACTTGGAGTCCTCCGTACACACAATGCTCAAACATGGTTAGGGAGGGTTTTGGCATGTAAATACTACTATATCAGGCCATTAATTACCTGTTACTGTAAGTTCAAGTATCTAGTGATGCTAAATTTTTAATAAGAAATTATTTCTACAAATAGACGTGCATTCTGTATGCAAACCCATTTCTTAGACAAGTGGTTTAAGATGCAGGTGATTCAAGATGAAAAACTTACACTCATGGTTATGGTTATCAGCATTATTACTCACTTAATGTTACTTGCACACTGCGGCAGAGAATAGTTGAGTATTAAAAATAAATTTTTACCACAACAGAAACAAAGGAAATTACTAAAAGAGTCTGACAAATTGCTTCGAAAAAGCAGATATTATAAAATATGTAATATTGAGATTTGTCTACCGTTATGCACACTTGATAAGTTTGAAAATCTCCAGTCTGAGAAGTTTTATTTAATATTTTAAATTTTTAACTGAAGATAATTTCAATATTATTGAAATCTTACACCTTCTACTACAAAGTAAATTTTACGTCGATATGCTTGCTTATTTTGAAAGTTACAAAATGATATTCATTATATAATGACTAAGAAAATGCCCAGTAACTAAAAAAAAAAAAAAAAAAAAAGAAATGCACTTTTCAAACTATAACTCATTCATTCACATATAAAATAACAAAGATTTTCCTGACAAATTCTTCTGTAGGTTTATAAAAGGTTTGTACGTTAATTTTAAGACAGTTAGCGCAAAACTCAGTTTTCACTAATCTAAAAAAGTTTGAATGGAAAAAAGCAACTTAAATTTCAAAATTCTGAACGAGAATTACATACATACTCCATTCACGAATTTTTACGTGATACTGGTATATGTAGAGTCATTAGGTTTATTTCGGAGCAGGAAACAGGAAAAACCAGCCATGCCTTCGCAAAAATTCGAACTCTGGACTCTCCGATTTCCAGACGGACGTGACACAAATTACACCTCAAAGCTACGCGATAATGATCGAAAACATTCCTTTCGTTCTTCCCCAATTAAAGGGCAACTGGATAGGAGAGGACGCAGTCCTCAGAAGCATGTGGTAATGAAAGATCGTCCACCACACATTTTTAGTTCAAGATATTTATTATTTTTGATTATTTTTTGGAGGCAGCAAAAGTGAGAAAAATCAGCGCTGCCCTGTCCAAAATTAGAATTTCGGACCTACTGATTGCTAGTCTGACGTGGTTCCAATTACACTTCCAAGACATATGGGTAGCAAGAGAAAGGTCCTCACACATATCACAAGAAATTTAAATATTCCAATAAATTTCTGACGAATACAATTTAAAACAAAAACATTGAGATTTTTTTCACTTTTCATACTCTCCTGCTATTGGTGGCACAATAATTTTGTAGGCTGATTCCTCATGTCTGCTACTTGTCTTCATTACAGTGTGGAATAGACTTTTGAAGCTCACAACTTTACTAGAGTACAATTTAAGAGCTTTACACTGTAAAAGCTACTTTCATTATCTACGAAATAAACATTTTCTAGTTGGATTACTTGACCTGCGACAATCAATATGGAGAAAGAAACGATTTTAAGAAGAGAGGACAATAGTTTTCCTTGACATTTCTAAACTGATATGACAACATTTGCTTCAATTGTTCATTATTTTTTTTCTTTTCACTTTAGAAGTGGCTTTATAATAATAAAAGAAACAGTCCTGAAAAAAGTGTTTTAATTAATCAGTTAAGTAAGTTTTAAGTTAGATAAGTAAAATAAGTTTTGGGTAAGTTACTTTCCCATAAATCTTAAACCTTTTCCAGCAAAATGAAAGAAACCCTTAATTCGTGTACACATACTTATTGTTTTCTTTAGAAAATGCGTAAAAAACCAAGGGTAAAGGGAAGTAGCAAATAAATTAAAATTTGATAAAACTTTTAAATACAATGCAAAACAAATATTTAAATGCTTCTCTTCGCCTTCAAGAATATCAGCTTGAAAATAAAATCTCCAATAAGTGTAATATCTGTTGCTGCTAGAAAATCAAAATATTTAATTTTTGTAATGACAATGGTCAAAGACGCTACTTCATATAAACATATTGCTGAGAAATTGAAAGCATTACTTTATTTGCGTTTATTACCAAAATTAAATCACAGTTATTTCTCCTTTTAGTAACTCTTCATGAGCTACTTAAGATCTATGAATCACAAGGAGAAAGCACCAGCTATATAACGAGACAAGAAGACGGTAGAAAAATCAAAAGTAGAATATCTTGTAATTTTCCTTTGTGGAATAATGGGAATTGTCTCCATTTTCTCCCTGAAGCATGGACAATCTTAAATGGATCAAGCAACAAATTATAGAGCCAGGAGCCAAACTGCAACGAATACATTTAGAAGCAACGGACAGACTAAATATTATTAATTAACAATTGTAATCTGTTAATGTGGTATAGGTTCCTAAGTGAATAAATATGTTTTAAAAATATAATTAATTAAAAATAATGATCAATTAAAATACGATGTAACGAAACAATAATTTAAAACATTATCTTAATCTAGTTAATATATGTAATATAATTTTAAAGATAGAGACGACAAGTCTTGTACTTGGTTCAGAAAATTTTCAGTTATGAGGACCGTCGTTTCTGACATACAATCAGAAAAATTTTCAAGCCTTTTTCATCAGTCGTCCTTGAATGCTAAGATATTTTACCATGGAAAACATATACTCACCAGTATAACTACGAAAAGAAAAAATTATTTTTCTTGCAGAGATGATTCAAATTAAACAGTTTCGAACAAATTAATTTATAAAAATCTATCAAAGGGATATCGTAAAATTTTGATTTCGGAGTTAAATCTTTCCGCAGCAAATAAGCTCTTTTATGGGGGTTTATCTAAATAAGCATTCATCACGATAGCTAATAGCAATTAATGGTTCTCAAATTTTTATGATTTTAATATTAAGCGGATCATGGGCCGAATTAGCAAATTTCTCCAGCCGCTCCCCGCGGCCAGGTTAATGTATGCATGATTTATATACATACCCAAAAGATTTTATCTCACCTTTCTTCATGAAATGGTTGATTATTTTATTGATGCTTCATATTCTTATCCAGGACGGCGAATTTACATTATCCTTCTATTCTGACTTCGGTAATCAATTGTATGTGTAGCAAGAGCATAGTCTTTTTCAAGCACGGAAATATATGCTTAATGTACAACATTGCTTCATAAAATCATCCAGTCCACTAAACACACAAGTAAGAACATCAATATCAGTTTGGTGCATACTGACAGGAACTTCTGCACCACGGTAAACAAGAAGGAAGACAAACGTTGGTTGAGAGGAAATGGGCGTTATCGTGATGTAGACGTACAGAATGACGAAAAGGATCTGTGTTCTTTACAAGTAACGAAGAATTTTCGTGAAGATGACGGGACGAAACTCACCCATATTAGGTGAACACTGTGGCCCGTAGCTATCTTTTTGCATGCCACTGTGCATGAACAAACGCAGTATCAAGGTCCTTTCTGCCTGTCCCGAACGTTTGCTAAAATAAAAAAAAAACATACATATAGAGATGATATATTAAGATTTAAGTGCAAGAAAAATTAATTTAACTCAAAATGTAGTGCACATACTCATACACATACATCAGAATTTAAAATTAAGCGTTTAAGACAAAATTAGTTCGCAAATATATTACTATGTGATATAATAACAATTTTTTTTTTATCCAAGGGTGAGTCTCTCAGGAGATTTTAGTGTCTGCTTGACGAGCAACAGAGTGATAAGTTCAAGACAATCAGGATAATGATATGTTAAAAATGTAAAAATTAACGGTATGAAATTTCTAAACTTAACTTCAGCACGATACAGTTCTAATTGTTTCATTAAATTATCTCTGAATGAAATATCATTTATTGAAGGATACTCTGAAATGGTGTTTTTCAAAATTCGAAAAGGTGTAGACCTGTAACTGACTACTAAGGTTAGATTTTATTATTTCTTAATTTTAGTACTACTCCTGTTGCTTGATTCTGAGTTTTCAAAACTTTCTGTTTTATTTTACAAATTTAAGAGGTAATACTCTCAGTTTTAAATTATACTAAAAGTCAATTGTCTCTATCTTATTATTTCATTAGAAATTTTGTGTTGCTTTAATCTATATTTATGGATCAGCCATATCATTTACGCTTTTCCCATTTTTTTCTGAAAACAGCCCCTTGTTTTAGTAGGCTTAACTTGCCTCTAAGAAATACCTTTATGAAACGAAAACAGTTAACTAACAGCCATTTTGGAACCAAAAAATTAGTTTCTTTCATAAGGCTTTTAAAAGTACCTGTCTATCATAACCACTTCATTTTTCTCTTCTGTTTTAAACAAGAATATATTAATTATGTGTAAATAGTAAAATGCGTAACAATTTTGACTTTACTGAAGAAGAGAAGTTCTTAAAGAAAATGCAGCCGAAATTTTTTTTTAAAATAAAACTAACGTTTTATTAATGCGATCAATTATTTTGTAAGTAAAAATGTAGATCATGATTTTTCAAAAACTAATTATTTTAGAGCTTTATTAGAATTATTTTCTCACCTAATAGATCTTAGGAAAAGTAATTAATGTAAATAAACTCAGATAATTCTGAATACTTTACGCCATAAAATAGATCTTCTTCTCCGATCTTTATCACCTTATTACCATCCGTTAATAAGATTATTCTCCTCCCTTAATTATAAGTAAGTAATTATTAAGATTAAGCAGATATGATAGCTAAACTTAGCGAAGATAATAGATCTCAAGCTCTCACTTTTATGATACTTTTAACAAGGCTAGAACAAGCATGTTGACTTGCGAACCAAAGGTTGCATGTGGCCTTTGACTCATTTTTTGCGGCCCTCAGATCATCCTGAGAAAATAGCAAAAGGCGTATAATTATAATATATAGATAAAATTATGAATTCCACACAATATCGAGGCGGGTATATAACCTCGGTTGCTAAAAAGGGCTTTTGAGACAGTCTGTTTACAAAAGTTGTTTCTCAACTGAAGCTGCGAAAGTGCCAACCATTTTACAGATGGAAAGAGTAGAAATTGTGGGAAGAGGATATCCCCGAATTTTAGAAATCTCAAGGGATTCTCAAGAAGTCGGAAATTTGAATCGTGCTGATTTCCACTTTCGGTATTACGCATACGTGTGAACAATTGTTCTTAATTATGGAAAGGACATATTCGTAGTGAGATCTAGGTTAAAAGACATTCATCTGACTTCAGTTTTGAAATTCACTGGCGCCAGCAGCATATCTCCAGATCGAAAGCTGGTTTCTTAAACAATATGCTAGGTGCAAGGAAAGAAACAAAAGGTATTCATCATCTAGAACCAGAATTTCCTTATATTTATTCCATTTTTAAAGAACTACAGCATTAGGTAAGATCTGCTTGTATTTAATCACTTTTTAAATACACCATTAATTACAAAAATGTTTTTTTTTCGACCCGCATTATTCTATACTGATCACAGTTCGGACCAATTGAGGTATTAAGTTTGACATGCCTGGCCTATAAGAATAAACTAACTCTTAATAAGAAAGAAGCGTGGTTTCCTTATACAGTGAAAAGCAGCATTTTGTAAATAAATGAAGTTTTCCAATAACAAGAGACTTACTTAAGTTATTATGAGAAGAATATAACTTTCAGAAATATCATTTAAATCAGATCGATCTAGGATCAGTAGCAAAGATAAAAATTATTTTTATTCTCATGTATTCGACGTAAACATATATTAAGAATGAAATTCTCATAAATTTAATTTCAATTGTAAAATATGCGAAACGCAGATAGATATGATACTAAAATTGCAGAACAACAAGAACAAAATTAAGTTGTTATATGTAACTCTATATCAAAGAATGTAAAATTTGCTTGCTGTCTTTAGAATTAAAATTTTATACACAGTATTCGACATGCAGTTATGACAATGTTAGTTCTAACTGCATTATGAAACAATTATTCATTGTCAGTTGTTTATTACTTATTTCCTTACGTTTTGATGTCTCTTTGATTGTACTGTATAAATTAAAATTATGTTTGTTCGTTTACACACACTAAATGATCGAAATTTTAAAAGCTATCGAAATAATTATGGAAAATAATCATGAATTTAAATTCGAACTGTTTTTCGAATATTTCTGCATACTGTTATTATAAACAAACAAAAAAAGCAATGTCAATGAAATGTTATTAAACTGAATAAGCTCTGAAATTTCTGTCTAATTGTCTAAAACATATTAAATAGACAAGTAGATTCTAAGTCATAAATAGATTTTGCGTTCACTAGTTAGTAAATTGCTACAAAATGGGAGATAAATTGTTAACTTAATTAGCCTTACATTAGCATTTTTACATTATGTAAACACATTGCGTGTTTACATTAATTTTATCATAGCTGTCAAAACATTTATGACTAGCTTCATGCCCAATTCTTTAGAGGATTTTAAAAGAGTTTATCGTGAAAAATAGAAAACATGAGTACTAACGGTAATTACATGATTAAAATGATAGCATGGAATAAAAGCATGCTATTATTTATAACTTGGCTTAAAATAAGTATTTTCATAATAATTTCGAATGGCCTTTTGAACCTGCTTTTCCAAACGTACCTGCAAGATAGATGAGCATAGTAGTTACACTTTGGCCAGTACAAAAAATGACTACTCAATATTTGCCAAACACAAATGATGTACTTAATACACAAAACGTTTGTACTTACCTTGGTATTCTACCCGTCTGTTCATAGTAGGACACTCACTTCCCTAAAAAGACAGAAATATTAATGAATGCCTTTAATCCGATATTAAATTAAAAATTCAGTATATTTCATGGAAATGCCCCATAAATGTTGTCTAAAACTCGCATTTTATAAGAACATGAGTTTTTCTTCAACAGACAGGGCATGTTGCAAAAATTTATCTTAAATTAAAAATTATAGAAAAAATGACAATCTAAATTTTCTGACTGCACCCTATTCGTATAGATATATACGTTAGTTAATTTCTTAAATCGGATTTAAATTTTCGACAAGTGAGTTTCTGGACAGCAGGGAAGTGACTGACCTTGCATTTCGCCTTGAGCTGTGATTGCAAAAAATAATCATAAAACAAAACTTACCTGTATATTAAACTTGGATTAGTCTCAAATAGAACTCACAGGTTTAAATAAGTGAATTTGTCTCTTATTCATAGTATTATATTGAATAATTTCAGTATCAGCACTTTACCTTTGTCTGTAGACAACTAAGTATATAATATGAAAATAAATTTAGCTTTATTTTTAAGTCAAATAATAATTAATATAAGTAAATATATTTAAAATTTCCTAGTACTATATCTATTACTATCAATATCAGCACATTACCTTTACCTGCAGAAAAACAAATATATAATTTAAAGAATTGAATAATCTGCATTTTTAAGTCAAATAATTAATAATATAGGGAAAGATATTTAAAATTCAAATAGAAAAACTAAAATATACTTTCAGAATTCACCGTTCATGTAATAAACGCAAATTGTCTGAAAAATTTAAGTTATTGGAAAAAATATGTCACCAGTTCTTTATTTAAACATATTGTTCTTATGATTTACAAAACCATCTTCTGTTTTCCTGAAGAAAACCAAGTCATTACATATTTAGAGTGAAAACTCTATGAAATAATCCATTCATTTGCAGAAAGGAAATTAAATATGGAATAAAATTGCCAATCCGTAAAAGTACCAATTTACATTTTTGAGCACATTGTGAGTCCTTGAATAGATTACTTCAATCCTGTATTTGAATAATCATGTGATAGTGTACAACGTAGTGATAGTGAAAGATGGAGGTACTATGATGCGGTAGGCTTCGTGATGCATGCCGGTAACACTAAGTCTGCAACAGCGTTGCCGCTTCTTTCGGTTTCTGAGCATATGAATTTATGAAAAATGAAACTATGATTATCTTATGAAAAATAAAGATTTTTTCAATTGATTAAAAGAAAGGGCAAAGACGATGGCAACCATGGCAAAGACGATGTTAACTACTCGCGTACTTTTTAAAAATCAGTAGAATAAAGTATTTTGATGTTGTTGGCTGTGAATTTCCTGTCCTAATAAATAACGCAAAAACAAAAAGATACACATAGTGGATGTAAGAGAAAAATCTTAAGGCCAAGAATTTCAGAAGTGGGATTGTCGATTTCGATGTTAATCTATTGTGGCTGAATGCTATTGAGGGTCTGATGCAAAAACTAAAAAGGTACTTTTTTTCTCGTTCTAAAGTTATTAAACGTCTCAATGAAACCATTAAACGTATGTATGAAAGCTTTTAAACATATTTTCAAAACTATTAAACGCTTCATTAATAAGTGTCAAACGATTAACCGTGTATAAAAAAATAACATAAAGATGTCTTTCCTTGGCAAGAGATGCAAAAGCGATCTAATTGAACTTGCGACGGAATATGGGGAAACGGTTCCACCAGTAGCCACTGTGATTACGATTAAAAACATCATCATTAATAGTAAAAATTATGACAAACTATTTGTAAAACAAGTCTTTGAAAGGATTATTGAAGAAAGACTTATGAAAGAAGAAGATGAAATATTAGAAAAACAAGCACAATTTAGAAATTGAAGAACGGGGGGAAAACAAAGAGAGTTAGAAATTGGAAGAACGGCAAAACAAAGACTATTAGAGTGTCAAGAACACGAAAAGCGAATTCAGTTAGAAGCTGAAGATCGGTGAAAACAAAGAATTTTGAATTATTTAAACTTTTAAACGAAAATAAATTAATGTCCGAAACATCAACAGGAAGTAATATAAGCACACGAGAAAACAAAATATGCATCGATTTGAAAAGTCTTATGCAAAACTTCGATTTAAAGGATGAAGATAGCTCTTCATTCCTAATAATATTTGCACGGCAAGCTAAACGGGTGGGGTTAAATGAAGAAGATTATGTTTTTCATTTATTAGGACTTTTACCTCTCGAGATCATACAACTGATCGCCAGAGAATCTGAAGAACAAGCTAATGAGTACGTATTTGTTAAGTATTTATTATTAAAACGTTTTAAGTTAAATCCAGCAAAATTTCGCCAGAAATTTGTTAATCATATTAGGAATCAAAAATACATGGACGGATTTCGTTTTCAAAATTTGTAACTATTTTAACGAATGGTTAGCAGGATTAAAAATAAATGATTTCGATTCTTTAAAAGAATTAATTATAACAGATGAATTGCAAAGACGAGTTCCGAATTCTATGAGGGAACATTTCATTGATTCATGGACTACATATGTAAACGCGAATGAACTAGCTGGAAAATTAAATGACTGCGAAAACGTTCAATCAGGACTACAAATAAACAATGAAAGTAAAAACAGTTCTAGGTTATGGCCTTGGGATGATTCTGAAAACACTCCGAGAGTAATGAATGTTAGTATCTCTAATAGATTTCAAAGCAGAGACACGATGAAAAGCTACAAATATTGGGAAAACATAGACACATTTCTCCTGCACATAAATATAATGAAAAACAAAAACTATTTAATTCTTCTACTTAATGATCAGGATAATCCCAAATGTTTTTCATGTAATCTCTTTAGTCATATTTCAAACGATTGTTCCTATCTCTGCAAAATTTGTGGACTGAAAGGCCGTTCAAGGAAATATTGCCCTGAGGAAAAAAAAGGAAGCTACATTAAACGTGCACGGTCTTGATGATTTTTCCGTAGCAGCTGCTATGTACTATACTTAAGGAATGCTTTAATTAACAGTTCTTGTATTGCGTCTTCAATGATTGACAGGCAAGCGTCGTCATGTTTACTTAAAAGAACAGACTGCGAAAGGCCTGGGAATAAATATTTCATCTCGGAGTGACTATTTGATTTCGAAAATCAAAAGTGTTTAATATAAAGTCTTGGCTCGGCATTTGTGGATTTAAAAATTGATGACGTAGTGGCAAAAGATATTCCAGTATTAATTGTGCCAGATTCGGCTCAGCCAGTTCACTTATTGGTTGAAAGAATATTCGAACGTTTTATCGGGTTCCGAAGTTTGCCCGCAGTCACTTAAAAACATACATATTGCCTTTGCCAAATTTTATGCGGATATGATACAAACAGCCAAATGGTGGATCTCTGGAGGAAGAATTAAAAGATATAAAATATTTTGGGTTCCCAATTTAGAAGTCTCTATGTACCAGAATATAACTGCTCTCAAACGTGCCGAAAAGTCTAGTCTGCAGAACATATTTGAGACTGGAGAAGGCAAGCTTTCCAACTCAGAAATAATACAAACAATAAAATGTAAATGTTTTCACGATTTATTTCTAAGGTTAACTAAGGAAATTATGGGAAATGCTATGTGACTTCGTTAGCATGGTTAAAAAACAATACAAGCTGCCACTTAAACACTGGATTTTGCAGATTCTTCTGCAAAATATTTTGCTTGTTCTTAAAGCCTCCATTGTCTTCTCGAGAAAAATAAACTCGTCTTAAGAAAAAATTTAAATCTCATAAAATTGGTAACGCACTCAGCCACTCAAACTTCAATTCTGAATTTGAAATGGAAAAGCTGAACGTAGCTATCAGCAAGCTAGTAAATGTTAAACGTTCAGATGTTGATAATATACGTCCTAAACGGAAGCACCTGAGTTTAAATTCTCAACTAACTATGTGTGACCTTTACAATCGAAGTTGGAGAAAAGAGCTCAATTTGGACTAAAGCTATCAGTTTACTATTAAAGAACAGAGAAAATCACGTGTCATTCGGCAGTAATAGATGTATTAACTGGTATTCATATCAAAAGCTATGGTACACATGCTGGCTTTGGAAAGTACAATGGAACAGATTAAAAGATTGTTTTTCTTCGGAGCATCAAAAGACATGAAAGAGGCTTTGGACAGACATTACTCCTGGCTATGTTTGTGAATGGAACTCAGCCTATGACAGAGCCTAGAGCTTAAAACGCATCCACAAATTTAAGGCTATTAGCGTAGTTCGTAATATACTTGGCTGTATCAAATATTTCTTACTCAGTAATTTTATATGGTCCGATATCAAAAACGAGCTGTATCAAATATTTCTTACTCAGTAATTTTATATGGTCCGATATAAAAAACGAGCATAAAGCTATGGAGAATTTGAGATTGATCTGCCTCAAGATTCAGTTATAAATCTTTTGTTGTTCAATATCTCTATTAGTGAGCTTCCAGCTCTTCTGGTCAGTGATTGTTTTATTAAAACAGCTCTCTTCATTGATGATTTGGTGATCTGATGCAGTGGACCAAAAATCAGGAAAACTAAAGTATTGAATGTGAATAATATTTGAATTATTATTCAAATTCAAAATGCTGAGTAACTCTGAATGCTAAGTTGAACAAGCTTTAAAACTTTGATGTTCTTCAAATGATATAATTTTAAATCTAACCAAGACATTTAATTTAAGGGGACTCATACACTTTAAAACTCATAAGATGTTCCAAAAGGTGACTGTTGCAAGAATTGGGATAACTTATTAAGCAATTAGTACCAACTTTTTACAGCTGACTACATAATATAGCTGCTTTCTGAAATAGTAATCAGAAATTTTGTGTTGCCACAAATATTTTTATAATTTAATCCGATTGGTGACAACATTTTTCGTCATGTTTCCAACTTGCGCGCACAGTTTAAAACATTCTGTTTCATAATTTAATTCCGTATTTAATATATAGCTTTTATAACATTTGGAAACTACTGTGAACCTAAAATTCTAAAAATTTCATGTTAAA